GAAAAACAATTAAAAAGGTTACTTTTACAAATATTATTTGAATAACGAATGAAAAAAAATGCACATTTTTATTGTTTGGTATTTATTACTTTTCATTTAACTTCAAGTTGCAAAATAATTGTACAAACAATATATCGTCGCCTGGCGTGAAAAACCTCCTATGTAAAAAAACCAAGTTTTTCAGGAGAAACGTTTTAGTAGTTTAAAAAATAAGTATTGAATATGAAAATTTCAAAAAATAGTTATATTGTGTAAAATATGTTTAGAAATGAAATTGGACTCTTATTATTATTTTATTGTTTTATCCAAAAGGGATATTAAGCATATTGTTAAGATTTTTACACATAGGAGGTTTTGATGATAATTCTTTATTCTGAAACTCCACATAGGAGGTTTGTTGTTGACACATAGGAGGTTAATATTTGTGTATATTTTTTTCTTTACACATGAGAGATTTCATGTCTATATTATTTCAACTATACAAAGTATAAACTAGGTACTGCTAAAATTGTAAAATAATAATGAACCTTTTAATTAATCTAACTACATAGATCTATAATATAATATTATCAGTTAGGTTAGCTAATAGTTTAAAATTGTGCTTTATAATACCTAAAAAGAAACATACCTACATGCCTACCTATATGCATCAATAACTAATAAAATTCTATAAATTATAGAAATATTAGACCAAATTTGACCCTTGCTAAATGTTCTGTAATATCTAATAAAGATACAGGAAACTAACAATATAGTTATGAATAAAAATTGAATACATGGTTATTTAATAGATTTTATAATTAATTACAATTTTTAATTATAAATAGTAGTAATAAGAATAAAAATAACAAACTTTTTCTGTTTCTTGAAAAACCACATTATAAAATAAAATAAAAAATAACAGTTAATAACACTACATACTTTTTGGTTAAAAACTTAAAACTTATAATAATAATGCACAAAATTTTCTAAATATTATTTTTCGATCTACTTCGGTGAACATTCCGCAAAAAAAACCTTTGGATCCTAATTTATTTTTTTTTGTGATTATGAGCACAACAATCTTTCAAAAATCTTCCAGGCTTTGGACAAGACTGTGTGCATTTACCATTCTTAACTTTTGAACCCATATATATATGGGTCTCCTGCAACTCTTTTTATAGAAGCCTTTTCCTTATTTGTTCTACCAATTTGTATAGAATTTTCAGACATACATTCACTAAGAACATCACAGTCCACATTACTATTAATTTCATTTATTGGATCATCTACATTACCAATTTGTTCAGTGTCATCATCAATATTGTCATAAGTATTAATATTATCAGTAATAATAAAATCATAAATTATCAAAATTGTTAAAATTATTTATGGTGGTTATTGGCATAGGATTATCATAATATACATTCAGGTCAACTTCCTTTCCATTTTCATCAACAGAATATTATAAGACCAAATTAGCCAATAGGTATTTATAATTTATATAATCAGGTTTCAATATTTTTAGTATTATAAAATTGTATTATAACAATAAGCTTAATTTCGAGGGGTAAATACCTTGGGGGTAATCAGTGTACAAGGTGATGGTAACCATGGGTATAGGTAATCTTTGAAGTAAATCATGGGTAATCATAGGTATAATCATTGAAATCAGTAATCTGGTGTACAAAACTTCTGTCAGGTATTTACCCCTCGCTTAATTTTAAATTTAATTACACTTATGTTATTGTTGAAGATTCCGATTTTTTTTTCAAAAAAATTCAAAATGAAAAATAATAATATGAAAAGACAAAAGTGATAATAAAGATTATTTTCCCTCCTATTCAACACCAGCTGATATAGCTCCGATGTGCGAAATTCGTACAAATCAACAGTGTGACAAACCTCCGCTGTATGCACATGGGAGGTATATCAGATAAAAATTTCAATACAGCTAACATAGGAGGTTCATTGTTTTGAAGAATAAAAATGTTTTGATAACACCAATAATTTTGAAATATTTATCACTAGATAGCGTATTTTTTTCTGAATTCAGAAATGTAAAAATATCATTTTGCGATTTTTTGCACATAGGAGGTTTTTCACGCCAGGCGACGATATTACAGAATTGTATTAAATAATTCCTAACATTTTTTATTTTATTACAAAATGCCTTGCAACTTAAAAGTTTTGTGTCTGATATTTTTAAACTTATAATGACTATTCACTATTCAGTATTGGCCAAAGACAAAATCATTGATTTTCTCCGTAAATGGAGTAAACTCGTATTTTTTAGTACTCTCGGCATGATTGTTTTATTATATACATAAGTAATAATGTAGCTAACAATATTTTAAATACAATAAACTATACAATCGAATTTGAACTTCTTTTAAATGTTCAAAGGTCTTGTTGTACTTAGAAGTTATATAGCTGTACCACGGTAATACCCCGTCTTTCCCAGTTCCCCTGCATCGTGTAGGTATTTGTACTTCATACATTATACCATTGCGACGAACACGTTTTTCAAACTGATCATAATAAAATATTGTGGATGACTGCGAAATGGTTCGATTTTTTTTAATGATAAGAAATAATCAGAGGTCATGTGTGCATACCTGCTCGTTGACCGAAAGAAGATATCTTAACGAATTCGTGGCTGTGGGTATTATGACAAATGTTTTTGATACCTAGGTAACTTCAACAGCAATATGTGCGTTTCGTATTGGTTCAAGACTAGTATTGTTTCCAAATTCCAATGATCATTCATAATTAATTTTAAAATTATAATTCTACTATAGGTACCTACTATGATAATTCAAATGTATGTGAACATAACTTCTAATATGTCATGGAAATCTAAAGGATAAATTATACTATAAACAGTATTTAACACTGAGATAATCTCAATGTTGTTTTGATTGTTATTTTCAATAATAAGAAGAACTAGTGTATTTGCATAAGCATAATTTGATATAACTTAAATTTTAATTATTAAAAACATAGTATTTTTGGTTGTAGACTGCAACCACGATGTAGAGAGATAAGGTGACACCGCTCCCGTATCTTTCAACGGTACAATCAAAGCAAAAAAAGGTGGGAAAATTTCATGTATATACGTTTATTTGTTTTAGAGTTACACCAATAACCAAAATCGATTTTTTGGAAAACCAATTTTGCGTAAAAATTCCCGTTTTTCCTTAATTTTTATGTTGTTTTTCCCGGCGCTTGTGAAAACTACTTTTGACCCCCCCAAAGTACCAACTAGATTCACTTTCCTATCAGAAAAGCTACTGATGAAGAAAATCCAAACACTTTTACTGTCCTAAAACGTGATGACAGACACAAAAAAAAATAAAAAAATATAAAAAAAAAGGTGGGCAAGTGGGTGTCACTCTGCTGTACAGTAGGTTACAAGTGGGTCACTGTATAATGGATGGTATTAAATTTGAATTCAATGATATAATATCATTGTATAAGAAAAACGATTCTGAGCGGTGATGGTATGTCAGTCTATGTATAAGGCATATTATATACATATCTATGGTATTAAACAAAAAATTGACCTATAATAGGAACTTATAATAAATTCCAAATTAATCATATCACAATATCCATTAGATACTTATAACGCGTTATACATCAACAAAAACCGTGATACTATCATAGATATATAATAGTACACTTTAGAAGTTTCAAGTACCCACGAATAATATTATTCAATAACAACAAAATCACTAAAATCGTAATTCTTGGTTTAAATATGATAATAATGATTTTTAATATTTTTCATCTGCCTTTGAAACAACATATTAGGAGCCTTCTATTAAATTTTCAAGCTTTCGCAACCAACAAATAAAATTTTATTGATATTTTTAGAAAAAAAACTAAAAAAAAAATGGAAAATGAAAATGTCCCTAAACAGTTCAAAATAAATCAAAATATTTTGAAAATGTTATCGTGTATAGAAAATGCAATTATAAACAACCAGTGAAAATGTCATGTATATACGTTTATTTGTTTTAGAGTTACACCAATAACCAAAATCGATTTTTTGGAAAACCAATTTTGCGTAAAAATTCCCGTTTTTCCTTAATTTTTATGTTGTTTTTCTCGGCGCTTGTGAAAACTACTTTTGACCCCCCAAAGTACCAACTAGATTCCCTTTCCTATCAGAAAAGCTACTGATGAAGAAAATCCAAGCACTTTTTCTGTCCTAAAACGTGATGACAGACACAAAAATATAAAAAAAAATATAAAAACATACATCATTGTAAAACCAATACATTCATCGCTCCGCTCAGAATCTAAAATCAAGGCAGTTTGATAGTTAAAAATTTAACACCAGAGTACGCCACCCTTCGCTCGAAGGCCGACTTTTATACGAGTCGTAATGGAGATTTACATTTAAATTGTATTTAAATTTATTAATTGTTGTTCAAATGCCAATAATCCGAATGCCAACATAATATATTTTATGTTATATTGTATAGATTATTAAAATAAACTAATGTTTTGGAATCATATACCAATTATTATGTAAAAATTGTAATAGTATTATATGTTATGTAGCCATATCGTACAAATTTATTGATTTAAATAAAATGCATATTTATTATATTATATTTATATGTTTATTTATTCATTGACATATATATGTACAAAAATGGAATTAGTAATATCTACTTACAATAAGTATAAGTTACGAGTTTAAACTGTTAATAAAAGCTTAAATATACTATTACCTATACTGACCCAAGTACACCCAAATAAAAATCATAATTATAGGTACTTACTTTCTGCCGTACGGCTGAACAATCAACACATGTTTTTGTTACGCTCTTGCGCTATTACGTATAAAGTTAACTTAAAACCAGTAAACAATTTTTCGATTGATACGCCCGCATTCGTGAGATTACGCCGGAAGTGATTCTGTGAGTATTACAGCCCGTTAGGGCCCCCCGGGCCCTTAAACCCCTATAAACACCGCTTCTTAGTTAGTCCCACTAATTACCACCGCGATGAACAACAAATCACCATTGCCAAAAAAAAGCGATAAACAAAAGCCATTAGTGCCACCGATAACAATAATCAACCAAAACTCCATACTATCGAAAGCTGGGCCACCTTCAGTTACCCCCACTGCCAACGTTGAAGATAATATTTTCGACTGGTCTACACCCTGGTCAACAAAGACAGACAAGAGAAAAAATAAACAAAATTCTCCAACGGGTACCTCTCCGAAACTTAAACACTCAAACTCTACGTATACTTCTAAAAACAGATTCTCTCCACTTGCTCATGATAATATCGACGACGACGATGAGATGGAAACCGATACCACAACAAATTTATCGCAGACAAAACTCCCATTACCACCACCTATATTTATTAAAACCGATATAGTGCAGTTTAATCTCTTCTGCGAATCCATTAAATAGTTGACTCAACCTGATGGTTTTCTATGCAAATCTTCCGTAAACGGTTTAAAATTAAATACATATACAACTGATTCATATCGCAAAACTGTAAAATTCTTGAAAGAAAAAAAAGTTAACTTCCACACATATCAACTCAAAGATGAAAAATCATACAGAGTGGTAATTAGACACCTCCATCATTCTACGCCTGTCGACACTATAAAAGAGGAATTAAACTCCAAAGGATTTACTGTGAGAAATATCGTCAACGTCTTGCATAATCAAACAAAAAAACCCCTCCCACTCTTTTTCGTGGACTTGGAGCCTTCACCATCAAACAAAGATATTTTTGCAATAGACCACTCTATTATACAAAAATAAAAATTGAGGAGCCCCGTCCCAGACGCAACCTAATTCAATGCACGCGCTGCCAGTCCTATGGTCATACTCAAGCATACTGCAATCACCAACCTAGATGTGTGAAATGTGGCAACAACCACTTATCAAGTGAATGCAAGAAAGATAAGGACTCTCCTGCAAGCTGTGCTTTATGTACTCAGCCACACCCAGCCAATTATAGAGGGTGCCAAGTACATAAGGACCTCCAAAAATTCAACCGAAACTCCGCACCAAAATCCACCTTCCGGGGTCAAAACTCCAAACCAAATTTCTTCTCAACACTAAGCTCTTCAAAAAATTCATCACAGCAGGTCGTGCCAAACCAGATCAACAGCAACGAAAAACCATCATACGCCCATACAACTTCCAAAAGAATCACCGCCTCGAACCCGGACAATCATGATCCAACAGTCTCACAAGCTCCAACCCTAACATCCTTTCTCGAAGAATTTAAATCACTAATAACCCCCCTCATTTCTCTCCTTACATCACTAATTACTAAATTGTTCAGTCATAATGATAAATAATCCAACAAATATTATTCTCTGGAATGCAAATGGCTTATCCCAACATAAACACGAACTACATAATTTTTTGATTCAAAATAATATCCAAGTAGCTTGTATCACTGAAACTCACTTAACAAAAACACTAAAATTAAAACTACCTGGTTATTCAATATACCGTGCAGACCACCCTGACGGTACGGCTCATGCAGGCTCTGCCATAATCATTGCCACTAACTTAGCTCACAACCTACACTCAATCAATCCACAAACCAACCTCCAGTCAGTTTCTATCCAAATTTTCCTAAACCATGTTCCGCTAACCCTTGCTTCAGTCTACTGTTCTCCCAGCCAAAAAATCACCATTCAAGATTTTGCTCAACTTTTCACCTCACTAGGGAATAACTTCATTGCAGGTGGTGACTTTAACTCCAAACACCCATTATGGGGTTGTCGCTCCACCTCTCCAAGAGGTAAAATCCTTCATAAAACAATTACCGATCATAAATGGTCTCACATCGCACCAACTGGACCGACATACTGGCCCACCCACGTCAATAGGCATCCAGATATTTTAGATTTCTTCATATATTCCACCCCAAGTAACCTACCCTTAGCTATATTTAACATCACGGATCTCTCCTCTGATCATACCCCAGTAAAGTTAGTCATTGATGGCGAAACAAATCAAATCCCAATAAGACCTTCCCTAACCTCAGGCCCAATTAACTGGACCCACTACATACAGTACTTAAGCAAAAATACTAAATTAGGCATACCTCTTAAAACCACCCAAGACATTGAGCAAGCTTCTGTCACATTTGTAGAAATGATCCAATCCGCGGCTAAACTGTCCTCACGCGCAAGTAACGACTATTCCTCCACCTCGAACACAATTCTGGACAACTACCCACTCCCGGGCCACATCAATGAACTATTAAGACAAAAAAGAAAAGCTCGTGCCAAATGGCAAACTACAGGTTATCCTAACGACAAGCGGATCTTTAATAACCTAACCAACAAACTTAAAAGGCAACTCCAAAACCACAAAAATCAATCCTATAATAGCTACATCTCTAACCTAAATCCAACAAACGGCTCGCTTTGGAAAGCAACCAAAAAAATCCTTAGACATATCGAACCAACTCCGCCAATCCGTCGCCCCGATAACTCTAAAATCACCGATGACTATGAAAAGTCCAACGTTTTTGCTGAACACCTTGCTACAGTATTTAAACCAAACATCATACAAACTAATCCCCAGCACTCTGCCAGAGTATTCGAGTTCTTAGATAGTCCACTACCAGTTTCTATGCCTGCCAAACCCACTTCCCCAAATGAAGTTCTCTTCTATATAAAACATTTAAAATCTGGTAAAGCTCCTGGTTATGATCTAATAACTGCTCTATTTCTAAAAAAATTACCACCCAAAACAATAATACTTTTGTCATATATATTCAATTCTATACTCCGTCTTTCTTACATGCCATCTATTTGGAAACATGCTCAAATAATACTCATCCACAAACCAGGCAAACCTCCTGAAAACCCATCCTCCTACCGTCCCATAAGCCTTCTGTCTGTCATAGGAAAACTATTTGAAAAAATACTTCTAAAAAGAATTACAAAAATTGCCACAGTTAATAAAATTATACCTGATTTCCAATTCGGCTTCAAATCTAAACACTCCACAATCCACCAACTGCATAGAGTTGTCGATCAAATCTCATCAGCATTCGAGAGCAAACAAATCTGCATTGGTATTTTCCTAGATATCGCACAGGCTTTCGACCGAGTCTGGCACCCCGGCTTACTTTTTAAATTAAAATCCTTCTTGCCTGCTCCGTACTACCTACTAATTAAATCTTATCTAAACCAACGAACATTTGTCACAAAAATTAACGGCACCTTTTCCAACTCTCAAATAGCAACTGCTGGTGTTCCCCAAGGCAGTGACATAGCTCCTTTCCTATTTAACGTATTTACCAGCGACCTACCTCTAAACGAAAACACACTACTTGGTACGTTCGTGGATGACACTGCTATTCTTGCTACTGACAAAGATCCCATCCATGCTGCCCAAAAAATCCAAAACCACCTAAATGTTCTAAACAACTGGTTTCACGACTGGAAAATCCAAGTTAACCCATCAAAATCTTCTCAAATTACCTTCACACTTCGATCCTTAGAATGTCCCGCAACCTTTATCGGCAATGAACAAATTCCATCCTCCACGCAAACCAAATATTTGGGTTTAATTCTTGACAAACGCCTTACATGGGGTCCCCACTTAAAAAACAAGCGTAAAGCTCTCAATTCAAGACTCCACCTTCTTAGACCCTTACTCCGCTCAAAGCTCTCATTAAAAACTAAAAGAACAATATACATGGCTCTTCTAAGACCCATGTGGTACTATGGCATACAACTTTGGGGATCAGCCAAACCCTCAAATACTAGAACAATACAGGCGTTTCAGTCTATTTGTCTACGTTTAATATCTGGTGCCCCATGGTATATTACCAATGAATCACTCCATAAAGACATCTGCATTCCAACCTTAAACAGCCTTGCCAAAATCACCTATAAAAAAACACACAAAACATTCATTACTCACTCTAATCCTATAATCACCCAACTTTCATCAAATCAAATTCCAGGTAATCCACCCAGGCGCCTGAAAAGGAACTGGTGTAGGGACCTACTTTCTCCCTAAATCGCTTCCACGGGGTGCCGCCACTGGGTGACTTCCCCCTCCTGTTTACCAAAAATCATCACATTTACTTATTGTATCACTTGTAAATACAGATTGTAAATATTATGTTTGTTCAATAAAAAAAATAAAAAAAAAAAAAAAAATTATAGGTACATATATGATATATAATAACAAAAAAATAAATAAATATTAAGCATGATGTAGAGAAAATATATCTACAATAGAGAATAGAATATATTATCAGTTAAAATAATAATATAAGTAATTGATAATATTCTATTTTTAATTTTAATTTGCCTAATTGTTTGTATTTACACAATTCTTAATAGTTAAGACTCCCTTAATGGTTTGTGGATTGTATAATAATATTTCGTATATACTTTCTTATTTTGTTAAAAAATGCCTAACAAATGTTTTGTGCGAGGATGTAAAATTGGCTATGCCAGTTATAAAAAAAAGTTAAAAGTAAAAAAGAAAACACCACCTATTTTATTTTGTGCACCAAAGGTGAGTCATAATTTTTAAATAAGTACTATAGAGATTTATTTGAGGAAAACATTTGTATAATTTTCTTTACTACATAAGTACCTCCAAAAGAGCATTATTAATGATACTTATTTGTATGTGTTTAATAAAGTAAACTATTTATACAATTTTAATAAATTATTATTTCAGATCAAAATATAACTTAATTGTAAACCTAAATGTGTTCTATTAAAATATGTAGTAAATATAATTGTATAATTATATAATATAAACATCCTGAATTCTCTATATTCTAAACTAGATAAATTCTGACCTGAAAAAATACTGTCCTAAATAGAAGACTACGTAGAAAAGTTAGCATGATTTGTATAAAATATAAATAATAAATGTATACCTGTTAGTAAGATGTTTGTTAATTATTGTTTTATAGGTTCTTTCTTTAAAACAACAACTTAATTCAATTCTAAAAAAGTATGATGACCTTACTCAAACACAATTATCATCGTATACAGAAAAACTACCTGAAAAACAAAAAAAGAAGCTATGTTTTAACTCAGCAAACTGTAAATAGTCAAATGGCCGACGTTACACAACAACATGGGTATATGAATGTTTACTTATGCGAATCAAATCACCAAAATTATATCGTAAAATGCACAGGGATAACATTCTACCTTTCCATCTTACACCACTTTACAGAGATATATTAAAAAACTCCGTCCTGTATATGGTTTTTCTGATGCAACCATTAAAATGATAGGATTAAAAGTCAAAGAAATTATTGAAATGGAAAGACATGGTATTGTTTAAAAATATTATAGGTTTTTATTTTATTTTTTTTATATTTTATTTCCTACGATACCTAGGATGTTTGCTTATAGATGAAATGAAGCTATCACAAGCACTTTCATTTAAAA